TAAGGAGGGAGATTGAGATGGGACATCAGGAAGGAATTCTTCCCGGAAAAGGTGGGGAGCACTGGGACAGGCTGCCCAGAGAAGCTGTGGATGCCCCATCCCTGGGAGTGTCCAAGGCCAGGCTGGATGAGGCTTGGAACAACCTGGTCTGGTGGAAGGTGTCCCTGCCCATGGCAGGGGGTGGGACTGGGTGGGCTTTAAGGTCCCTTCCCACCCAAACCAGTCTGTGATTCTATGATATGGTTATTTGGTAGCTGAACACATTTATTATTTATCACAGGTTGGATGAGAACTCAGCCATGAAGACAGCTGAAACCATCAAGCCCAAGCCCCCTCCCACCATAAAATGGAGAGAGCTGGCCCCCTCTCAGTGGGCAGGCACAACCAGAGATTCATTCACTCCATACAGGACCCTCCCCCCATGTGCTGAACACCTCCCAAGCTCACACTCCCCCAGGGCATCAGTGACACCAGTTTTCAGCTGGGAGGACCCAAAGCTCTTAACCAAAGCTGGGGTCTCTAGCAACTCAGTGGGAGACACAAGCTGCCCCACACCCAGCTCCCACCAGCAATCTGCAGGCATCAGCACGGAGGAGGTGGCCTCACGCTGCCAAAGGAGCAGAGGGCTTTTGGCTGCTGCCACGTCGGTCAGGCCGAAGCTCAGCAAGGGGAAGGCAGCAGCAGGTTGTGCCCCGTGGCTCCCCGTTACGCACGATGACGTTCTGGACATGGCTACAGCCGCTCACGGCTCTCGGCTTCCCTCAGAATAACCGAGAGTCTCATGTGTGGAGCAGCGAGGTGGGTCAGGCATAAAAGACACCTACAAACACTTAATCAGATGGCACATTTGGGTTTCAAAGCAATGCCCAAGAGGCGAGGCCAGCCTCTGGAAGCGAGCATGCGTCACAGCGGCTTTTAACGGCCACTTCCAGGAAAGCAAGAAAGAAGCCAAGTGCGTCTGATTAGATAAACACACACGTTTCCAACAGGCTAAAAGAGTCGTTAATTATACACCTCTGTCCTCAGGTGTTTTTGTACATTTGCAATAGCATTAAACTGCTGGCCAGAAACCATTAATCTCTGCTCTGAGAAAACCTGCCTCCCCTTTGTTAATTTAATGTACGTAGTCAGACGTCCCCAGCAATTCGGGCACGCAGAACAATTTGTCTCTCAGTTGTTTTGATGCTGGTGTTCTCTGTTACCATGTGGATTTCACAATCAGGCCAGCTGAGACAGGAAGGACTTAGGAGTTACCAACTAAACTTCAGAACCACCCAACTCAAAACCATCCAAACGTATTCATTTTCTTCCAGGAGAAAACACAACCAGCACCAGGGCCAAACGCCGGCCTCGCAAAAGCCCCTTCTGCCACCCCCCTCCCTGCGAGCTGTCCTGCAGACGGAGCAAGCGGCACCATTACGAGGAGCTAGAAGAATTAAGAGGCTGCCTATCAGCTCCCTATCTCCTAAACCGCATCGACACAGGCAGCAATTCCCACTGCACGTGCAGGAGCTTCTCCCCTTCACTCCAGAGCCAACAGGCTCGGCAGCCTGCACACACCCATCTTCCAGGAGAGTGGAGAGGTTTCCATACTCACAAGCACCCCACGACAGAAGGCGTCCCATTAACTTTCTGTCTCCGAGCAGGACATTCCCTCAGATGGCTCAGGCATAACTTCCAGCCTCCTCCAAGTTATTTTTCCTAGCAATACCTGCAGCACCACCTAATACTCTGAAGTTCAACTCTGCCTCCTCCCCAGTGCAGATCAGCAGCAGCTGCGGATGCAAAAGATTGAGCAGCTGAAAACCTGGATCTGTTCCTCTGGAAGGTTTTTTTCCTCTCTCTCCAGTATTTATGGGCATGTTTACCAAGCCTGCTGCAGAGTAACGGAAAACCTCAGGGGCATTTCTAAATGCTCTCTCTGTCTTGAAGGTTTACTGAGGTCTCTAAAAGAGCAAGTTGAAACCTTCTTGTGAACATCAGCTGAGCAACGCTGCTGACTGGCTGCATTCATGCCTTGTTTTCCTGAAGCTCCTTGGATGTTGTTCTTTTCTGTGCTCAGGCCCAGGCTACTGAGCTAAATGTTTTTTTTCAAAATCCCTTCCCCCCGCCCATGATCCCAACACACCATGGACCAAGGGCAGTGGGTTGGGTTGGGGTTTTTTTTTGCTTTTGCAATTTGGTTCCCGAGGTGGGTCTAACGGCTTTCACATTCCTGTATTTTAAAACTCGAGGAAGCAGTCACCTTCCTACCTGGAAGGGAGCAATGAATTCCAGGGAGTGGGAAGTTTACTGCAACAGAGTAGTGGGGGATGCTTGTGTGCTTGCATGCATGAGAGACATGCTGGCTTCCCCCAGCTCCCTTATATCCCCTCATCTCACAGATACTCCCTATTCCTCTGTCTTCAGGACACTAACCCCATATATCCATGTCAGATACCCATCTAGACCCATCTCTTTTCCCCTGTCTCACAGCCCCACGCTGCAGAGACGAGGATAGCCCCTCTGCACACCCTTGAGCTACCTGTGCTACCATGGATATAGGAACCTCCATCTCCTGTCTCCTCTTTGCAGCCAGAAGGCTGGTAGTGCACGCTCCCTACCTTCCCTGGGCTTTTTAAGCTGACCAGTGCAGAGCTACACTGTGCGTCCGACGGAGAGGCTAAACCAGAGAGCTGACACGGTGCAGCAAGCACAGCATCTTCCCACCCACCTTGGTCTCTGCCACCAGCTCCATACCACCCGGAAGGGCAGGATCAGTGCGGGCTCCCAAGGGAAGGAGTCTATTCCTGTGCCCCAGGCAGGCCCTCCAACAGGCAA